TTCATATCTGGACTATTGGTTGAGCTTATTCTGATTTCAAAATTTTTTTTTTTTTTTTTTTTTTTTTTTTTTTGTCGGTGACAGCATCTTCTTCTAGTATTCTGTCCGTAATCGGTGATGTGCGATTTGTAGTCAGAGACTGCTGATGTGCAACTTGTGGTCTTTGTTCAGCTCATGAATGCTTGCAGGCTCCGACCACTTGTCTCTTTCCTTGCGTTTGATGCAAAATTTACGGCATCAGCGGTGTTCTTACGGATGCATCCGGGTGGTGTTTGTTTTGCACAGTATGCTGTGTGTCTTGGTTAGGGGAGAGAACCATATCACAGGAGAAACAACAAAGAGCAAGCTATGGCTTGTTGATTTGGCGGGAAGTGAACGGGTGGGCAAGAGCGAGGCCCAAGGAGACAGACTAAAAGAGGCTCAGGCGATAAACAAGTCTCTCTCAGCCCTTGGGGATGTTATTTCAGCTCTCACCACAAAGACTCCACATGTTCCGTACAGGTACGACTTGGCCTGGTCTAATGGCCTCACTTACGGTCTGTTCGTCTCCGGTTTGCAAAATTATATTGTTCCTTTTTTTGTTGTGGAAAGGAAAGCTGTCCCCCCTTTGCATGGGGGACAGTTGTAATCACTATGCTATTCTCTTCTGTCGATACATTTTTGGGGCCTTGCACTAGCTACGTACGCACCACACGGGTTATCTACCTACTATCTACCCACATATCTAGCAATAGCAAATTGACTTCTTTTCTGCTGCATATGGTATCTTCTTCTTTTGTCTTTAAAAAGACAAACGACAATAAAAAGATAAAAGACAATACAGAATTGCAGCATTATGTCTGGGGCTCCAATCTATTCGGGGGAATGTCAGTGCGTGTCCTTTTGCCCCTGCGAGGCCGAAGTTACAAGAAAGAATCACTCCGTGGGGCTTCTCCTCATCACATGCTTACAGTATTGAGGGCATACTCGCACCAGAACTTCAATAAATGTATTTAGCTGCACTTATGGCCAAACCTGAATGGATCTGACTGCAATTACGTCCGGAGGTTAGTAGAAAAAGTCCTAGTGTGAGCACACCCTGATTTAAGAGGAATGACGGTTGGATACGTCCATTTCTTTGCTCCGTTCCCCTTTCATCCCATTTCTTAATTGTTATGCTTTGTCTTTTATTTTTATTTTTTTAAGCAGTGACGTTATCTGTTTTCCCTATTATCTCTAGGGCCAAGAATTGCCTCATTCATGGCAGATTTTTATTTTTGAAAATCTGCTTATCATTATTCTTGTCCACCCACGGAGTCCACCTTTCTGCTGCGGTCTTTGGGAATGGGGCTTAGTAGAGGAAAGGTCGGGGCGATATTTCTGGCCGCCTTTTGTGTGGCTCTTTAGTCCGGACTCGGTGTAGTAGGAGTTAGATTGGGCTGCTGGGCCCGCGTTCCAGCATGAGCCATAGCTGGGTAATCC